GAAATAAATCTCTTTAACTCCAGAAATACAATAACATACATGAATATAATGTCTCCATCAGACATATGTTTGTGTGGGGACACAAGAAAGGTCCTCTCATTGGTTGTTCCAACACTTTGCTATATCTCTAGGGAGTTTGCTACATCTCTGCTGTTCTTAAACTTGCATACACTCATATTTTATGCCAGTAGGCTTTTGGCTTTAAAAATACCCTCAAATGTGGTATCTGTTCCTTCATTCTTATGTATGTGCTTATATTTGAGATTGGCTTATTTATTCATTAAACTGTGGGATAAGAGCTTTTGTAGTTTGTACAGTTTGCTAAAAATAAGAAATGACATAAAAAATAAGAAAGGCCTCAATGAAACCATAATGCATTAAAACAATAAAGATAGGAAAATATAAAACCCACCTTACACCACGTGGATGAAATAGAACATGTTTTGAATATATCATTATTAGCTTAACACCTTGAGCTTTGGTTTTAGTAGAAAGCCCAGGTGCAAATTCAATCAAGCCAACAACACAAAGCTATACTCTGCTGTGACTTTTTATTTAAACATATGTAAAATTCTAGGACAAAGTGCTTCACTGAAATACAAAAGACAATAACCTTGTATATCGGTCATTGCTTTACTGAAAAGTATTTGAATAATCCTTTTGGAATAGATGTAAAGAAGTGGCAGTGTTCAAAAACAGCTTTATGCTTATTTTCCTGTTGAGCTGTAATGCTGCCTTTGATATCTTGATTCTTTAGATATTTTCCAGAAAGCATTTAAATCCCCACAGATATCTTGCTTCATTATTATTGGTTTGTTGCATTGATATTTCTCCTTCCCACCAATTAACTCAAAGTGGCAAACCTGGACGGTGAAGCATGGTAGGTGGTGACAGTTTAGCATGAGGCAATTCTGTGGCAGGAAGGAGAGCTATTATCTATCTAAAGCTCTATGTCAGAGATTGAAACCATAGGGCACTCTATATGTTATTGTATTATAACTCTCAGCACCTCTAGCCATTGTAGCCAATGGTAACAAATGTCAAGATGCCCTGATCAAAAGGACCTGGGGTCCAATGACAACATGAAAAGAGACAGCTTTGGGGCAAATGTATGTGGAAGCGATGTACATGTGTTCCTATGTTCTCTTCAATACAGGAGTCTTTTCTGTCCCTTTTGCCTACTCAGAACTGGGCTGTTATCATTACTGCTTGGGTCTTAATCCTGGGAAAATGTGGGGAAGAAGAAGGAGGGAAAAAAGGGGAGGAGGAGGAGGAGGAGAAAAAGAGGAGGAGGAGGAAGAGGAGGAGGAGAAAAAGAGGAGGAGGAAGAGGAGGAAGAGGAGAAAAAGAGGGGGAGGAGGAGGAAGAGGAAAAGGAAGAAGAAGAAGAAGAAGAAGAAGAAGAAGAAGAGCAAGAGGAAGAGGAAGAGGAAGAGGAAGAGGAAGAAGAAGAAGAAGAAGAAGAAGAAGAAGAAGAAGAAGAAGAAGAAGAAGAAGAAGAAGAAGACAGTAATGTATACATTGCAGATAGTCTATGAGCAGTTTAGGCATAGAACTTGACATGTAGCTAAACAAATTGAAATAGAAGCAAGGCAACTGATCATATGAATAAGTAAAGTGTCACTCCCCCTTCACTACTTGTATCCTAAATGAATGTGCTCAGATCTGTAGTATTGATTGAAGGGACTTGGGTTTTTTGCTCTTACTCTCCTACATCTGCACTGCTGTAATTTATGTGAATTGCAACTAATAATCAGTTGTGTTATGCTTAATCAGCATATCAATAATGTGCTTGGCAAAGATTGCATGATCTTATTTCCCAGACCCCTCCACAAATTTGAATGATTGACAGCATGAAAATTGCACAAATGCAGGTGTTGGTGCAGGATATTGTCTCTGTGGACTCTGCAATCAAGTAGAAGTTAATGGGGCTATTTCACTTTTTAATAGTTGTTTCTTTGACTTTGTGTGTGTGTGTAAGAAAATGGTCCAGACTCCCTAAAGACTTGAATGAGCTTAACCAGATAATCATTGTGATACAGATGCTAATATTATAAATGAGGGGAGATAGCTGCGAGGGAGAAAGAAACTATGGCATTCTTTGAGAGTGATAATATTGAATCCAGGTTAAAGTGCTAACACTGGAGAGTTATCAAGTGGAACGCAAATTTGTGAATACAAATAAGGGTAAAACACAACATGAATATTCATGGACTTTGCATAGCTGCAAATCAAGTCAGTAATGAAAAAATAACTTGAGAATCTCGAAGCAGCCAAACCAAAACCTACCTTTTCTGCTCTCAACAATTAATTAGTGTGTAGTGCAAATAAAATAATGTACACAAAGGATCTTTACAGGGTACATTCAGCTGGGGAGACCGGAAAGGGGACTTTTTATACCAATGAAAGTAACCTGCCTCAGCATATTGGCACTTATGGGTCGTGATGGGGATATATTGCTGTGTCTTGGAACTTGGCTGGCATCATACCAACACCCTCATTTGTGAGTCACAGCTTTGAGTGTAGCTCTATTAACTTTGGTTTATAAATCACCATAGTGCTATTAGCAATGTTTCAATACGTTGTGACATCTTTATTATAATGCTTTTCCTCTGAAGTTTAAGTTCATATTTTAGTTAGGCTTCAGACAGATGTGTATTCGGCAGAGTTTTAATTAATATAGTAGAAGTAAAATGCCAGGGAAATATTGTCTTTCCTGCGTACCTCTTTTCACTTTCTGAATACTACTTCCTTCAACAGCCCAATTTTTCAAACTAGAATAGATGAACAAGAAGAACTTAAACTTAAATATACTGCACTTCTGCTTCATTAAAATCTAGGGATGTTTTGCTATTCAATTCAATAAAAGTAGCAGAGCACACTTGTCTTGGCATGAGAAATCTTGGTGTACATGAGGTTTGTAGAACACACATAGATAATTTAACTCTAAGATAATATGCATTGTACAGAGATTTAGACTTCTCTGATTCCAAGAAAGATCAATAAATAGAAACAGCATGCGCTGCTCAAATGTACCCAGGTCAAAACAGGTTTCCATACAACTAAGCAGTATGCTGTATGAGACATAACAGTTTCTGTAATAGCTTAATATGCATTTCTGTTTCCTATGATTCCCATGATACTCTGCTTCCAGTCTGTGCCAGCTGATTTGCCTCTTTCTGCTGTTTCCATTTGTGGCCAAAAGCCACAACAGAGAAAGAGAGCACAACCAAGGATTAAAAGCGCCTTCAAAAAGAGCAAAACTGAAAGTCTGCAAAACTAAACCAAAACTCAGTTAGTGATTGTGTAGGAGGCTAGTTTGGAACAATTACTCCATTTGTGGAGTTTCTTTCTAAAAGGTCCCAAATCTCCCAAAAATAAAAAAAAAATACTTATAGGTGGCAGCACATTGTTGGCTAGGAGTAGAATATGATGTACAGATCAAAACTATCAAAATGTATGAAATCACTTTAGTAAAGGGTTTGGAAAATGTATTTTATAGCAATAGATTCAACATGTTTTTTCAATTCTTCTAAAATTTGTTCAGATGGATTTGGTACTTTTGAAAACAAGCTCCACATTTGGCAGCAATAAAGAGAAGATGTACTAGTGTCTTGCCCTCTCCATTTCTGAAAGTAATAACATATTTTTTTTATAAAAAACAAAACCTAAAACAGTGTCTAACCCACAGTGCATAACTCTCCCTGTGCACATATGCTGTTGGGTGAAGCAGGAATGCAAGGAAAAAAGGTGAGAGGAACAAGAGGGTAAAGATGAAAGAGTGAGAATGTCTGGAGTTTTGGCTTACAGTTTTCTGTGATATGGAAAGCTTACTGAACCAATTTTCATTCATCTACTTAGGCTGGGGAGTGGGAAGGGGCAAACAGCAACTGCCGTTTTGGCATTGCTGATAGAAAGGATCTTCCTTTGCCTGCTGTGCAGTGGGGGCTTGAGAGGGGAGAGAAACTCGAATCTTGACATCAGTTGTAGTAAAGAGTTTCATTTGCTTGCTTAGAAGGGGGTGTGAGGGGAAGAAACAGCTTGACTCTTGGAGTTTGGGTTTGAAAGGAGCTTCTATGATAGTTTAGGTAGGGTGGATAATCAACTTTCTTCGCATGGCAAACCTGCTGGAGACAACACAATGGGAAAATGTGTTGCCCTTCCTACTGATGTTTCCTCTGCACCTGCTAGAAGGGGCACAGCAGGAGGCAAGCTGCTTCTCCTCCTGGTCTTCCCCCTGCACCTGCTTCAAGAAGACACAACAGGAGATCTGTTGCCTTTCTCAATCCAGATGTGCTTTTTATTCCTAGAGAAAACTGCTGGAGAAAGCACAGCACATTTTAACCAGTTGTTCTGAATGCTACTCTGAAACGTAACTGGCATATAATCTCCACTTCTGGTCACTCTGAAGAATATCCACACATTTATCTAGCCAGAAAAAGGTAAACCATCTTTAAAATTAGTAGCATGTAAAATTGCTAACTCTTTGGTGACTTCAGTTCTATTGGAATGTATCTCTCTGTTATAAAATTATTCCCTATGGAGCTGGTTCCCTCCATTTACATCAGTCTCAATTCACTTCACAGGTCCAGGAATGCAAAACCAACTTGAACTGAAACTCTCTCATAATACACAGTGTCCAGAAACAGACAAAAAGGCATGTAACTGTCAGTTACATGCACACATTTTAACTAAACAAATTTACAATATGCATACATTTTAAGAATACACACAAAAACATTTCAGTCCATGAGAAATGCATTTACAAATTATATTAGGAAAATGTGGCCAGAAGCATGTATGTTGGGAAGAAAAATATGCATGGAAAATACATACAATTTTTTAGTGGACATATACTGCTGCTCCGTGCTTTTATATTCTAATCCATATAAAGATGAGGGAAAAAAGCCACAACGACAAGGCACTATGTTCTAGCTTGGTATGATGGAAGAAGGAGACTATGGTTAAAAGCATTACATCCTTTTTTATGGACTAACTTACCCCATGCGATGGATAGGAAATCCAGCCCAGCTCTCCCTGAAATGCTTTTGAATCCAGCAGATTAACTGTGAAAAGAATGAAAAAAGATGAAGGAGTTTGTCTGCTTCTGTTCAGTTAGTTTTAGTTTGTTTGGTTTGGCATTAAAACACAACTTGGAATGTTCCCTCAAAAAGTAATTAGTTGTGATTGCTTTTCCAAGGCCCATAAAAATAGTCAGTTATGAAGACAAATATTTTGCAAACATTATTTTGTTGTTCAAATTAATTAAATTCTTTTTGAAATGCTAGAGATCACTAGCTTGCATTAATACATATTTGTAATGACTGAGATCACTCACAAATGTAACCAAAAGAAGTTACAGTTATGACATAAAATGTTATTCTAATTATGTGTTGTTGAAAGCTTTCATGGCTGGAATCACTGGTTTGCTGAGAGTTTTCTGGGCTGTATGGCCATGTTCCAGAAGCATTCTCTCTAGCCAGGCTTTGAAGCTGCTAGGCTATTAAATGCTAATCAAGATGGCCAATTACAACATTCACACTTGCCTCAAGCTGACAAGAGTTCTTTCTCCCACCCTAGACATTCCACAGATATGTAAACCTCACTTGCCTAGTTTTCAACAAACCTCACAACCTCTGAGGATGCCTGCCATAGATGTGGGCAAAATATCAGGAGAGAATGCTTCTGGAACATGGCCATACAGCCCAGAAAACTCACAGCAACCCATATTCTATGTTAAAATCACAACAGAACATAGTAAGGTTTTCATTATGGCAAATGGTAATTCATTATCTATTTGTTATTGCAATGATTTACCTCCAAAAGGTAGTTAAACTCTCGTAGATAAAGAAAGTAAAGCAATCAAAGCAAAACAAAGCATTGGAACTACCTCCAAGTGAATTTCTGCAGGGTGAAAATAAAACTGCCCTTATCAGCTGCACACATTCCACTTTACCACTCTTCCCAAAATGCCTGAAACTTGGCTCCGTGTGTAAAAACTATATTTGCAGGTGAGTGCTACAAGAAGATTCAAATTGCAGTTTCAAAGAGAGTTTGCACTTCGCAACTATAATGTTGCGACCTCAAGTCTTGCCTTTCTACTTTCTGTGTAATTCATTTATGCATATCTTGAGTTTCTGGATGGTATATAAAGATTAGACAGGGGAAGAAATCCTCTACTTCAAGCTAAGTTTAGGGTGCCCACCCCCCACCCCCCACACACCTTTCTTAGATAACCTCCAGCTTTGTAAGAGTTTTCTAATCTTCCAACAGAAAAGGCCAGGTTGGATATTGTAAGGCATGTTTGAAATGTAAATTGAAAATTCAGTTAAGTACATTTTGAAACTCTGAAATCAATGCTGAAAATAGATTCAATAAAATATACATTTTAACAGCCACTAAAAACAAACAGAAACCCACACAATGATATCTCTCCTATTTCTCACAATAAGCATATTGATCCGATTACTGTCGAGTAATCACATGATTCCATAAAGGTCCATTCATTTTTCAATGGAAACTAGGGAGATGGAATCAATACCATAGTAGAAGAATAAAATTATTGTGATAGTTTCCAGACTGACAGAAATCAATACGAATTATTAATACATAAGCACGCAAATAGTTAGAGTTCTCTTCTAATATTTAAGATTTAGAGCCAAGGGCAGACATTTTATGGATTTCTTTTTGCATCGTGAATTTAGTATTATATTTGTAAATAATATTTGTTAAATCCTACTGTAATAAATTTCTCAACATTTCCCCCTTCGGCAGCCATTAAGTTGTAGTCTACTTCTGTGGGAGTGAGTCTCCAAAACGTAATGGGACTTTCCTCTGAGTAGTTATGCATTGGATTTCAGTGTAAGTAAAAAAAAGATCTTTAGAATATTGCTTTGCTTTGAGACTTTTTCTGTGTCAAATCCAGAATGTAAATCTTATTTATTTTATTTTATTTATTTATCCTTTTTATACCCCACCTTTCTCAACCCTGTAAGGGACTCAAGGCAACGATTCGATGCCATGCAAACTTACATACATAATAAAATAAGCATATATATTTTTAAAAAATCATTAAAACATATCAAACCTTAACACAGAAAAACTGTTTATTTTCTTTGCAACAGCGACCAGAATTGCATTTGCTAAGGTATGGAAACAAGAACAAACTCCTTCAAAGTTGGAATGGTTGGATAAGATAATGGAAATCAAGGACATGGATGAATTGACATTTTGGCTTAGACAAAGCAATGGGAAAGGAATTAAAAGAACATACTGGAAAGTTTTAGAGGACTAATGGAAAAATGAACACACCTAGCTCCAGCAGGGAAGAGCTCCTTGCCCCACCCCAGCCATTCCACAGATATATAAACCCATTGTCCTAATTCCAACAGACCTCACTACCTCTGAGGATGCTTGCCATAGATGCAGGCGAAACGTCAGGAGAAATGCCTCTAGAACATGGCCCTATAGCCCGAAAAAACCCACAAGAACCTACTTATTAAATTTTCACTTATTTCATTTCCATGCATAAATATAAAATAAAAAAAGTTTTCTGTTTGCTAGTTAAAATCATAACAACCTTTGCTAGTAATTGTTTATCCTTTTTTTTGGTAAGTTTTGTGCAAGTTTAATGAATGTGGGGGGGTTTTAGGCAGGAAGAAAAATAGGAGAAAAAAAATCTCACCGCTTTCGGTTTTTGATTTAATTTTCATTTTGGTTTTATTTGGGGATTTTTTGATGGGGTTCACTGGTTGCCATCATGACATTCTTTATTTATGGGGACAAAAATATTTAGAATCTTAGACTTAGAAGGTGCCCCATAGGACATTTACTCCAATCCCCAATCTAAAGCAGGAAATTCAGATAAAGCATAATTTACAAATATTCTTTATGTTCCTCCTTTGAACACATGAAAAACATCAGGAAGGGGAACCAATGCAACTGTGGGTAGAAATGACAGTCATATAATAGAAACAAAACTATTAATAATGTAGTTTGTTTTCTCTTCATTATTCTATATGCAGAGAGTTACATTTTCAAAAAAATCTCATATTAGGTTTATGTGTGGAAAAAAATTAAAATGAAAACAATTCCAGAGTTATTTTTCAACCATTTAAAAACTGAAAAGAAAGGAACAGAAGAATTTTTAAAATGATTATTCTGTTTCCTTTTTTTTTTACTGCTATCTAAGCCAGTAAGAGAGAGAGAAAAATGATGCTGACAGAATATGGAACTTTCTAAAGAGGCTCTCTCTGTTTAAAGTATTTATATTGGTTGCTTTTTTGAAGAAGGAAAAAAAAACTCAAGAAATTTCTACTTTTAAAAAATGCATCAAAAGAGATGGATGGAGTAAAAGAATGTTATTATTGCTCTCACACGCATTTGCTAAGATGTAGTACAAGCCTCTGTTTTCCCCAGCAGTATGATATAATCAAAATATTTTGCTCAATAGGTGATAAGCATTTGTGTCAAGGGAATCCAAGATCTTATTCCTATCTATCACTTTCTATAAATCTTAGCACAAGACAATCTTGGTAATGCAATTAGATCAGAGTTTTTTTCCTCCAAAACAACCTCAGTGAGTTCTTCAAAGGCACATAAGAAGAAATGATTAATACAAATAGGCACTATGTCACAACACGATCCATCATTGTATTAAGAATCCGTGTAAAAGATTATTTAGCTAAATACAAAGTTTAATGGCAACAATGGATTAACTACAAAGAGATGTGATTTAAGTATTTGTTGGCTAAACAAACATTTTTAAAAGCAATTAATACGGAGTTAGGAAAGATAAATAACATATTACAGAAAGGCTATTGACCCACATAATCATTTTTCAAGCTGGATTGTACAGCACAGAAAAACGTAAGGAGATGTTGAATGATTATACATCGTGAAGCCAAATAAATCTTAAAGAATGATAAAAGTTTTAAAAAATTACATTACTTCAACAAAGTGGAATAGGTTCATAGGTTTTAATCTATAAGCAGCACCGAACAGTAGAAAGTTAGCATACCAATTTGAAAGCTTAAATCATTTTCCCGATTAACTATTTTTAAGATAGGCATCATGGAACAGTGAAAAATGTTTTAAAAACTGAGCTAGTTGCTTGTACATATATGATGGGGTATTATATATATATATATATATATATATATCACATTCTTACTTAAAATAACATTTTGGGTGTCAAAAGTATATACTAAAGTAGTTAACATATTCCTTAAATATCTAGAATGATGATTATTAGAGTACATATATAACATTATCACCGAATTGCTAGAAATAATTGAAAATGCCTGATCAGTGGGATGATACGTAGGACTATGACTCTGGAGACCAGATTTCAAATGACTGCTCAGCCATGAGAACTTAACAGTTGACCTGTGTGTGTGTGCATGTCTGAGTGTGTATTCTTTAAGAAGTTTAAAAAAGGACAAACAAAGGCAATACAAAGAAAGCAGATTTTCGTAGTATAAAACCACTAAAACTACCTCACAAAACTAGCATATAACTACTAAAACTACGTTTAAGATAAAAACACTATGCGAGCACTTACCTACATCTACTAAACAAACAATTACACAAACTAACTCTATAAACCTCACAGTGTCTGTTGATTTTTGTTCTTTATTATCCCACTCCATTTTGGCAACACTATATGACAATACTTAATAATAATAATAATAATAATAATAATAAACTTTATTTATACCCCGCTCCATCTCCCCCAGGGGGACTCGGTGTGGCTTACATGAGGCCATGCCCATCGATACAATACAAGCAATATAACACAAAACACAATAAAACAAACAAAATACATAACATGCAAAATCAAAAGAATATACAACACAACAATATAAAATCAAACATTAAAAACACAGGGAATGTTAACTTCTATTTCTAAAACAAAAAAAATCCTCTAATTCATAAATCCAACAGTTGAAATTTGCTCCAAGCCACTTAGAGACCTTAAGCAAGTTCATTATCTTAGACTCAGAGGAACGCAAAGGGAGCCCTTCTCCTGAATAAGTCTTGTCAAAAAAGATCCACTTTAAGCTCG